ACTGGTGCCTGCGTGGTCTCCAGTTACGGTTGGGGCCGTGGGGTCTGAGTTCACACTGGTGCCTGCATGGTCTCCAGTTACGATGCGGGCTGTGGGGTCTGAGTTCACACTGGTGCCTGCGTGGTCTCCAGTTACGGTTGGGGCCGTGGGGTCTGAGTTCACACTGGTGCCTGCATGGTCTCCAGTTACGGTGCTGTCTCTTATACACATCTAGATGTGTATAAGAGACAGGTGCCCGCGTGGTCTCCAGTTACGGTGCGGGCCGTGGGGTCTGAGTTCACACTGGTGCCCGTGTGGTCTCCAGTTATGGTGCTGGTCATGGAGTCTGAGTTTACACTGGTGCCCGCGTGGTCTCCAGTTACGGTGCGGGCTGTGGGATCTGAGTTCACACCGGTGCCCGCGTGGTCTCCAGTTACGGTGCAGGCTGTGGGGTCTGAGTTCACACCGGTGCCCGCGTGGTCTCCAGTTACGGTGCGGGCTGTGGGGTCTGAGTTCACACCGGTGCCCGCGTGGTCTCCAGTTACGGTGCGGGCCGTGGGGTCTGAGTTCACACTGCCCGCGTGGTCTCCAGTTACGGTGCGGGCTGTGGGGTCTGAGTTCACACTGGTGCCCGTGTGGTCTCCAGTCATGGTGCGGGCCGTGGGGTCTGAGTTCACACTGGTGCCCGTGTGGTCTCCAGTTACGGTTGGGGCCATGGAGTCTGAGTTCAGACTGGTGCCTGCGTGGTCTCCAGTTACGGTTGGGGCCGTGGGGTCTGAGTTCACACTGGTGCCTGCGTGGTCTCCAGTTACGGTTGGGGCCGTGGGGTCTGAGTTCACACTGGTGCCTGCGTGGTCTCCAGTTACGGTTGGGGCCGTGGGGTCTGAGTTCACACTGGTGCCTGCATGGTCTCCAGTTACGGTTGGGGCCGTGGGGTCTGAGTTCACACTGGTGCCTGCGTGGTCTCCAGTTACAGTGCGGGCCATGGCGTCTGAGTTCACACCAGTGCCTGCGTGGTCTCCAGTTACGGTTGGGGCCGTGGGGTCTGAGACTGGTGCCTGCGTGGTCTTCAGTTACGGTGCTGGCCATGGCATCTGAGTTCACACTGGTGCCTGCGTGGTCTCCAGTTACGGTGCGGGCCGTGGCATCTGAGTTCACACCAGTGCCCGTGTGGTTTCCAGTTACGGTGCTGGCCATGGCGTCTGAGTTCATACTGGTTCCTGCGTGGTCTTCAGTTACAGTGCTGGCTGTTTGTGCCTTTCTGGGAAGTTAGAAGAAGGATCATTTTGTCACTACTCTGTCCTCCCACACCTGACCTATGCTGGGCCACCGTGAATTCTTCCTTTTAACTGTTTCATCATGGGCAACACTGGTGTTCTGTGGTCCATGTTTGCCTGTTCTGTAAACGGATTCTGTGTTGCTTTTTAGAATCACGTGGTCTCTTTTATGAATTTCGCTTTTCTTTAAGAAAATAATTGTGCTTTTATCTTTTCAATCTCAACTCTGTTCCCTGACACAGGCTCTTGCCAGCTCGAAAATTAAAAGTAATCTTTGATTATACTTAATACTTTCTAAAGTTTTCAAAAGTTTATCAGCATGTGGGTTACTGAACATTGACTGTTTATTTAATGGAAAATTACATTCTAAGTAGAGTATTAGAGTGAAAATGATCTTTTGATTTTAT